GGAGCGGCCACTGCACTCCAGTCTGGGCCACAGAGTGAGACTCCAACTCAAAAAAAAAAAAAAAAAAAAAAAAATATATATATATATATATATATATATGTATACACATTAGAGACAGGGTCTCACTCTGTTGCCCAGGCTGAAATGCTGTGGTGCAATCATAGCTCACTGCAGCCTCAAACTCCTGGGCTCAAGTGATCCTCTTGCCTTCCAGCCTCCCAAGTAGCTGGGATTACAGGCGCCACCATCACGTCCAGCTCATTTTTCTATTTTTGGTTGGGACGAGGTCTCGATATGTTGCCCAGGCTGGTCTTGAACTCCTGGGCTCAAGCCATTTTCCTGCCTCAGCCTCTCAAAGTGCTGGGATGTCAGGCGTGAGCCATTGCGCTGGGTGGGCTACAATTTTAAACAGAGAGATCAAGGAGAGCCTGACTGCGAAGAGGTGTCCTGACCCCAGACCTGCAGAAGCTGAGGGGAGGGCTCCGAGGCAGTGGGAAGAGCAAGTGCAGAGGCCTTGAAGTAGGGCTGTGTTTGGTGTCCAAGGACAGCCAGGATGCCAATCTAGCGCAAACCAAGTGAGGAAGATGAGAGGGCAGGGAGAGGGCAAGGATGGGAGCTGTCACTGAGTGACGAGATCGAACTTTTTTTAAAGACAGTCTGCTCTATTGTCCAGGCTGGAGTACAGTGGCGCAATAGTAGCTCACTAGAGCCTTGAACTCCGGAAAGGATCCTCCTGCTTCAGCCTCCCAAGCAGCTGGGACTATAGGCTCACACCATCATGCCTGGCTAATTTTTTGTGTAGAGGTGTTACCCAGGTGCCAAATTCCTTACTTCAAGCAAACTTCCTGCCTTGGTCTCCCAAAGTGTTAGGACTGCAGACATAAGCTACCACGCCCGGCCCAGACTTGCTTTTATTTTTATTTTTTTCTAGATTGGAAAATATAGTTTATTTGAAAAGTAAATAAGAGCAAGAGGGGAGATTCACCTCCCCAAGGTAGAGGAGGGGGCCAAGACTTAGGAAAACATAGCCTGGCCATAGCTCAAAGAGCACTTGGCTAGACTATAGCTCAGCAAGGCAATGGCCCCTGGCTTGCTTTTAACAGGACCCCTCTGACTGCTGTGTGAGGAACAGAGTGAAGATAGCAAGTGCGTATGCAACAACCTTGCAAGAGATAATGCTGGCCTGGACCAGGGTGAGGCTGCCAAGGGGTGAGGAGTGGCATACTTCTAGGTGCTTTAGCAATCTGAGTCATTAAGATTTGCTGTCAGTTGCCTGTGAGGTGGGGGAGGAGGAGATGTCAGCTCCAGCCCCAGTTGTGGGTTCGAGCAGCTGGAAGGACAGAGCTGTTATGTACATGAGATGGTTTTAGGTGGCTGCTGGCTGAACGCTTCACAGTCATTCATTTACCTGTAAGAATGATTTACTAAGAGGCCAGGTGTAGTGGCTTATGCCTGTAATCTCAGCACTCTGGGAGGCCAAGGCAAGAGGATTGTTTGAGCCTAGGCTGGGCAATGTAGTGAGATCTTGTCTCTACAAAAAAATCAAAAAATGAGCTGGATGTGGTGGTGTGCACCTGCAGTCTCAGCTACTCGGGAGGCTGAGGTGGAAGGACAGACTGAGGCCAGGAGGCTGAGGTTGCAGTGAGCTGTGATCATGCCACTGCACTCCAGCCTAGGCGACAGAGGGAGACTCTGACTCTAAAAAAAAAAAGAATAATTTACTTATTAGGGCAAGTAATATATTAATTTCCCACTTACAATTAATGGCAGAAGTTTCCTTTTAAAATAAATGTGGCTATTGCTAGGCCATTGCCACAGCCATTGCCTTATTAGACGTGGGTGTGGCCATGTGCTCTTTGAGCTATGGCTATTACCGTGTTTCTTGGCTTTGGCTCCCTTCCCTACCTTGGGGAGGTGAATCTTCTCTTTCTTTCTCTCTAATTTACTTTTTTTTTGAGTTGGAGTCTCACTCCGTCACCCAGACTGGAGTGCAGTGGCCGCTCCCAGCGA